GTGGTATTACAGTGTTGAACTGTAATACCACTACGATCACTTTAATACCACTGGGTACTGAAGTTTTTATTTTAGAATAAACTGGAAAAATTCAAAGCCGCTATTCTTCCTTCCCTTTTCTTTTCTTAAGCAGTAACGGAAATAAAACTTTAAAATATTTCTCTCTCAGCGAGAAACTTTTCCTTATTCATGTTCATAATTTATTTTACATTCTCATTTTTTATTTAAAATTTTAAAGGTGTTAAAAAAGAGGAATAATAAGAACATGTAATGGTTGAAATTTCTTTGAAAATTCTTTGGATATTCTATCCAGTGTAATAACAATTATCTCCTTATTTCAAATTGTTATGACATCTTCTGATGCTTCACTTCACCAATGACAGAGTGGATAAGATTTGTGAATAGTTCGATCTCGGTTAGAGATCAAGAAACAAGATATTTATACGAGTATTTTCGTGATTTATCTCATGCGCAATCTAGGACATGCAATGGATATTTGTCTTACATTGTAGCTTGAAGAGAAAAAGTGGTTTTATCAAAAGTCGAGTTTAAGAAAGCGCGATTTGTTGTTATTAATATAACGAAAACTGTTGGTTACTTGAATATGGCGAAATTTACGAGGGCTATCTATTTAAGGGTAGAAGCGCCTTCGTGAAGGATTTCCTAAGAGAAACTGACTCTCCTTTTTTTAACTAATTTTACCGTCCGAAAATCGAGAAGAAAAAATTATTTTGCTTCCGAAGAACAGGTTACAGTAAGAACATAACGAATGAAAAACCAGTCATGGATAAACTACTGGTAACTCTCACAATATGATTAAAAAAAATACATTCCAATAAGACTACGTACTACTAATAATACTACAATATTTCGCAACAATAGAGCCCGTATCTGACGGTAACTGAGCCGAATACGTCGCTCCTGTTCAATATATTCGGCTTAGGTGCAACCCACAGTTCCTGAGAGAAACATCGGACGAATGGAGGAGAAGGGGGCAACAAAAGATATGGATTTTTTGAAAGATCGAAGACTTTACTAGTAGACAATACTGGATATTTCTGCGTTCGATGAAGTAGCCTCTGATCACAATCCGGGCAGAATTATCATGGACATCAAACATCATATTGCAACGGACAGAAAAGCAAGTATTACTGACTAGTGGAAATAGGGCAAAGTTCTAAACAATATTCAGTACACTCTGCCAACAGTTCATTCGGGAATAGTATTTATAGTCTGGGAAGAAAAAAAAAAAAAAAACCCAAGGAACTGGAAAAACTGGTTAAAGACTATTTTTTTCAAAAGACCAGACATCTATATGATAAACAAAGGTTAAAACCACCTGAATGACACAGTAAATCTCTTACCCTAGTCCAGACACAGTTCGACCGGATGCATATAAACATTCTGTACCGCTCCACACACATAGGAAAAATCCCTCCTCACGACTGGATATGGCTTTCGATGACATCTTTGTTTATATTTGATAGTATTGACTATACACCTCCATACGTTTGTTTATATTTTGATAGTAGTACTTTGATACCTGCGTTGTATTTTTGTTGCTATGAGATTACTCTTCTTACAACACTGTAGTGGGGTAAATTTTTGTTGCTATGAGATTACTCTTCTTTTCTCCGCTCCACACACATAGGAAAAATCCCTCCTCGTGACTGGATATGGCTTTCGATGACATCTTTCCTGTACACTTAGGAACGCTTTGACCTTGCTTGGCATTGACTATACACCTCCATACATTTGTTTATATTTTGATAGTAGTACTTTGATACGTGCGTTGTATTTTTGTTGCTATGAGATTACTCTTCTTACAACACTGTAGTGGGGTAAATTTAATATAAAAAATGTAGTGATATTTTTTCCTAGAGAGAAAGAGTATTAGTTCTTCTTGTGCTAACTCCGTAAATGTGTATTAATAGTAAGTGCAGAGTTTTTAGTAAAAGTATGCTTAATTTAAAAACTTCCCATTAAATATGTTGTGATTCTCTGCAGACGCAATCTCCGAAAGTATGAGACAGTTTTCGCAAATAGGGAAAAAAAAAAAAAAAAAAAAAGAGTCGTTGGAAGCTGACGTAGCACACAGTAAATTCACAATATTCATAATCAGTCTGAAAAAGTAAAATTTAGTCTTGAAGTTAAGACTAATCTAAGTTTGGAACAGAGAAATAGAGATACATATTTTACACTTATTAATATTACTTTATGAATATTTATGTTTTTTTGTGTAATATCTTTTCATAAAAATAGTGTTTGTTAGAGAAGGAAGTTCCTTTTCTTATACACGTGTATTAAATTCGGCGACAATACTGAATGCACTATTTTCTTTCATTTAAGGCAACGGAATGTTAGAAATGACTTGGACATTAACATGAAAATAACATAACATTTGCAAAGGAAATATTTTCTTATATAAGTTAAATAAAAATAATCAAGGGAATATAATTTGATAATAAACTAGTCCGCAGAGGGAAAGCTATCTAGAATTAAGAAAGGAGTTTATTATGGGAGTATTTTTAAAACTTCCAGAATCTAGCCCTAAAAATCAAGGGAGAAAAATACGCGAGAAAATGAAGTAAATATAAATAACTAAAAATACGTAACTAAAAATTATTCTATTTATTAATGTAATTTTTAATTATATTAAATTATAAATTTCATTAATCTTGAATCCCGTCCAATAATGCAAAACAGAAGTCCATAAAGAGAACTGTTTTATGAGTTTTTTATCTATATACTTCACCAATGCTTCTCAATATAGCCAAAAAATAGTCATCACTTTTATTAACTGATGTCCATCATGTTTCTCCAGATAACATGGTATTTGAGGTGTGGTTTTCCGCAACTTGTTTAGAATCTTTAGCATCAGAATCCTCTAGCACGATTCAGTTGCTTGAATATTAGTACTGCCTAAAGGATCGAAAAATTTGTTTGTAATTTATGGTTCTATGATCGTATCTTAATCGGTTAAACCCTTTATAAGCTTACCATTATTAATGCCATTGCTTAATTTAATAACCATCAGATTTAAATTTCAACTGATTTGTAATTCGATTTAGGCACAATTGATTTATTAACATCACAAAATAAAAAATCTGACTTGAGCATCACATGACTGTCTCGTACGCTTATTAAATTACGCACATTTATTGCTGCATTTCATTTAAACTCATTTCCTCGAATTATTCAAACATAATTAATCGATCCCTCAAAACAAGTTGAAAATGACATAAAAAATTGTAAATTTTGAAGTTAAATGTCTCGGCTAATTTTTCTCTGTGGGTTGCAAACTACGTCATTATCAAAACCAGTTTCAGATCAGCAGTGGATCCAAAGGAGGTTTACTTGATCTTTCTTTCCCAGTTCGGTCTTTTAAAATGATTAAAAGCGTTTTATACTCATGTCCAAAATTATCTTTACATACCCAAAAATGATGATATTCAATGAAATATCGAATCAATGTGATCCGTATTTGCAGGGAATGTGTGAAAACCAAGCCTAATTAGCATTATCCAATCAAAAGTAATCAAACGGTTTGTGATATGCAAATCTAGGCGTTACGTGATCCAAGGGTGAATCAAAGGCTTTGCGCAAATTGAATATTTGAGTGAATTTCTGCAACATAACGTTTGATTTCAGTGTGTAGGGACTCAAAGCGGTTTGTTATGGCTTCGAAGTATCATTTGGAAGAATCTGTAAAGTGGCGAATTATCGGCCGTTTAGAAGCAGGGCAGTCAATCATGGAAACAGCCACATGTCTGAATATTTCAAGACAGACAGTCTCTAAGCTATGGAAACAGTTTCAAAATGATGGAAGTGTTGTAAGGAGGCCTGGACAAGGTCGGAAACGAATGACAACTGCTTCTGAAGATCGGTATCTGGCATTAACTGCCCGTCTTAACAGAAAGGCTACTGCTCGCCAGTTAAGTTCAGAGCTTGCAGCCGCCACTGGAACTGTTGCATCACGGCAAACAATATACAGAAGGCTTAATGAAAAAGGCCTTTATGCCAGAAAGCCAACGGTATGTGTTTTACTGTCTTCACAGAAAAAGAGGGATCTCTTTAATTGGTGCAAAGAACATCAAAACTGGACTGAACATCAAAGGTCCCATGTTCTCTTTACTGATGAGTCGCGGTTTAGTTTAACTGGTGATTCTAAACGTGTTTACATCTGGAGGGAGTTAGGAACACGAAATGATCTCTCGAACATTGTGGAACGTGACCGTTTCGGTAGTGGAAGTGTGATGGTATGGGGTGGAATAATGATGGATGGACGTACGCCCCTACACGTGTTCAGCAGCGGATCTGTGACAGACCAGATATATCGAGAGGTCTTAGATCCTTATGTAAGACTTTTCAGGGGTGCATATGGATCTGACTTTTTTATTTATGGATGATAATGCCCGTCCACATCGAGCAAACCTCGTTGATGAATTCCTTGAAAGTGAAGACATTAAGCGAATACCTTGGCCACCAAACTCTCCTGACCTTAACTCGATAGAGAACTTATGGGACTACCTTGGAAGAGCAATTGCACGTATACATCCTCCTCCTAGAGATGTAAATGCTCTGAAGACGGTATTGCTGGAAGAGTGGAGATTAATTCCCCAAACTGTGGTTAACAACGTTATTTCCAGCCTTAAAACACGTTGTGATATGTGTGTACAAGTCAGGGGAGACCATATTCCATATTAAATTCGTAAGACTTAATTCTTTTTCTGAATCATTCCTTTTTTTCTTTACTCTCTTTGTCACACTTTATTACCATTTTTATTGTTTCATGCTACAATTTTATATCATATGAGGTGATCTTCAATTTTTTCTTTTGCATTTATGTGTCATCATGTTATGTATGATTCCACGAAAATTCATTAAATTATAAGTCATAGTCTCTGAGAAATCCGTGAATTTATGCATGTAAACATAATTTTGGACATGAGTAGATCTGATTTACTCTGGAGGTTAATTATTTGCATTCATGTTTTCAGCTTTCAATGATTCGTCAAAGAAAGGAAAGCAGATGATGACTAACTGTACTAAAAGTAAAGCAGGAACTCAAGATGGCTATTTTGCCAAGGAGTATCCTAGGGTGTTTGAAGGAGAAGCATACACGGACCCTATTCGCGCCAGAAGAAGATCCCGCATCGAACAGGCCCAGAAATGTCTGCCACCGGGATTTAAATACTCCTCTCCCCCCAAAAAACCGTAAGTGATTAAAACGTATTGTATTTTAACTGTTTTGCAGCACACTTGCGCATGAAAGATATAAATTATTTAAATTGGGCAACAGTAATGGTAATTTAAATCTCTGAGTTTGTTAATCATAATTTCTTTAAGTTTGCACAAAACAAATGAATAATAATAATAATTATGACCACCATCACCACCACAACAATAATAATAATTAAAGAAATCTGAAGTTCAAAATTTGGGCTTCGATGTGCACATGTTCGGGTGGAAGACGATGTGCGCTAAAAATTAGCCTGCGGAAACACTGTGGAAAAATGGCGACTCTAGGTACAGCCGTTTTCTACAATGCGAGGAGAACGCTTACATACATACGTGTATGCAGATTCTTCATTATTCAATAATTTACATGGTTAACAATAATTAACATGGAAGTTATCATTTAGTGAAGCATCAAAATCTCTCGGCACAGTTCAGCGTTTTATACACTTGGAGCTTCTTTCTTGTGATTTGAAAATACTCTAGATTAAGCTGCTCTGGCATGTAACATTATCACCTTATCATAATTAAAAAGTAATATTCTTTCAGAATCAATATTTAAATAAGATCTGCATCCAGTTGTTGACAGCTTGAAGGGCCTTTTGCTTTATTTGCGACATAAATACTGTGCCTTTCATGTGTGAGACCTGAGTCGATCGCGATTCCAAGTTACTAGATGGATAGTGCATTAAGAGATGTCCTAACAAAAAGAGCAGTGCTTAAAACTTGAAATAATTATAATATCCGAAAACTTATTCGTCCAAACAAACAGACGACACCAGATGTAAATATTAATTGATATTTTGTTATTTACGTATTCGTAGTTAATTTCGAGATATATAATTTTCGACTTAACGGCTGTTTTTTGCTGAATTTCAATTTTAGTTGCGGACTGGGTTCAAACTACGGAACATTCACAGACTACGGTAAAAAAATCGAATATTTCAGTTCGAAGGGACGAACGGCTGTGAAAGGTTCTCCATCAAAGAAAAATATTTTAACGAATCCTGCGAAGAAAGGAAGCGGATATGGGTAAGATCAAACATTTTGTACTCTTCGTGCCTTTAAAAGCTTGAAACAGATTACTTATTATTTGAAGAAATAATGTGTTTTATGATAATTACATTTTTTTCGCAAGATATTAAATTAGAATCATTGTTGTTCGAAGCAAGTAGGAAATATAAAATTTCTTCGTGTTTCGTTAGTAACACAAATTCAGAAAGTTGCAAAATCTTGTAATAAATCGTTAATGGGCTACAGTACTGGAACAGCTGAAAAAATGAAGTTTTGAGATAAAGGAGTTAAAAGATTTTCCTTAATTTTGAAATGCAGGAATCTCACATTTAATGGATGAATTAAGGAGTGAGCATCACTAAAACGCTTCGTAGGAGTTCCATTGATAATAAAATATTATAAAATTAACATTATTTAATAATAAATTTTATCAAATGGTGTTATTTTTATCTATATTTTTCCTCCTGCATGGTGTTGCGCGAAAAAAAATAAGAGACAAGAAAATAAGTTTTGCTGATATTATTACCGCATTGTGACACGTATTAGAAAGCTATAAAATGACATACTTACTGTTGCAATTTTTTTTGAAACAGGAGACGTGAAAAATATGTAATGCCCTAGCTGGAACTCAAACTCTAGACCTCCCGAATACGCGTTTAGGATGCTTCCATTTACACCATGAAGACATGCGGAAAAGGAGGGAGAAAATAGTTTATACACCCTTAAATGAAAATTCAAAACAAAGTGAGCGTCAAGAACTCAAGAACAAACTATATTTACATAAACTAAAAAATAAAACTTATTATTCAAATTCTAAAATGCTCTAAAATGCTGAATAACGGCTTGGTTATTTCACTGTTGGTCATTAAACTTTGGAGATCATAAATTTCTTCTTAGAAATTAAGAGCGTTTGTTGTAAGCATTTTTTTATGTTCCTCCGGGAAGGACTGCAGACTTTTTTTGCGTCGAGGGTTTTATACTGGTAGTTTTAAAACCTATTTCTTTAAAAGAAGCCTGCTAGAAGAAGTAATCCAATGAATACTTTTCTACTTTCAGTACAAATGTTGAAATGTGCATGTTTCAGTACAATTTCTGAAATGTGCAGTGTCATATTTAGAATTTACGGTAAAATTTTGATATGTCTGATTTGTCTTGTTCTTTAACATCAGCAAATTCGTCTGGTACAAAGTGAGGACTGGAAACCTTATTACAGCCAATATAAGAGAGAAATCAAAGATTGCAACAAAGATCTGTTAGTGTGTTGCTGAACTAACATATTTGCTAAAGTTGCTGCACCAAAGCAGACAGTTTTACGATGCTGGGAATGGCCGTAACTCAAAACTCGTAGTTTTCGAGCTGTGTCAGTATTGCAGCCCATAAACGAAATGGTTTGCCAAGTAAGCCTTGTTTAACACAGAAAATATATAAGGCAACCTTTAGCCATCTTAATTGATAACAACGTTTGGTGATTTTTAGCAGTTTTATACCAAAGCTTTTCTGATGAAGCTTTGTTGACGGGAAAGTATCTAAAATTTCTAATAAACAGAAATAAAATTCAAAATAAAATAAAATAAAAAATGCATAAAAAATTTGAAATGTTTCAGATTTTAACAGTCGCCCAAAAGGGTTTGTTAAGATTTTGTACGCTCTCGCTGAGCTCGCAGCCTACCAGTCCGCTGTTGCACTCCCTCCTACTAATTCAATTTTTTCCCCTTTTTAGCTTCATTATTAAGCATCCGTTTCTTCGAACTTGCGCCACATACGATTCAACAACAACAACAACAACAACAAATTCAAACTTTTTGAAAGCATTCCGTTTTTATTTATTTTACTTTCCTGAAGCAGGTGAGGAACCCCCCCTACTCAATGCCAAACCAGATCTCACCAACTCGTAATGTGTTAGTATTCCATGAACTGTTATAAATCTGGTCCTCCAAGCACTTACCAAGAACATGTAGAATTTATGCTGTGAGGGGATGGTTTTGCATACTAGGAGTAGAGCAGCACGATATTAAAATTACGGTTATTTAGATTATTAAGCATTTAGGAACTATCCCTAAGGGAAGAATGTTTTTCTGAAGGGCATTTTAAAAGACATTTACTTGTAGTCCTGTTACACAAAGGAAAAATCCCGAAAACTCTCCTACAGCCAGCCTGCTTTCTGTGATTTGAACTTGGATTCGGACTAAGAAATTTTAGCAGTTTTATAACTCCTACTGCTGGCAGGCATACGATGTTAGTAAAGTGGTTTGAGCTGATCAACAAATAGCACAGAAGATTAGCTAAATTTTAAAAAAGGACACATTTATTTTCTCTTGCACGTGGAGTCACTTCTAGTCTGCAGTGTATGTTCTTTTAGTAAACTTCTGAAGCAGCTTCTAAAGGTTTGGTTTGGTAGATTATGGCAAAGCAAACTAGGGCTGTCTGTCTAAGAGGCAGGATGCCTTCTTGAAGGATTTTCTAAGGAAAACTGGCCGGTATACATGTTACACATGGGAAAAAAACCCCGAACACGCCCATGCATCCAGCCGTTTGCCTAGAATAGAACCCAGGTCGGAACTACCAGTGTACAGCGATTTTTACAGCTCGGCCTCTGGCTGCCAGCAGCTTGTAAAGAGACTTCAGGAATTTTTCGTTGTTTAATGACAAAAAAAAAAAAAAAAAAAAAAAAAAAAAAAAAACGGTTTCTTTGAGCAAAGTTAAAATTCGATGAAATTTTTATGCTTTATAAATAAATAAAAATTTAATTGTACATATAAAAACTTCTGTTTTAAAAAATTACACAAGATAAAAAACAATTTTCTCTTTTGTTGAACTATATATTTTGTAATTAAAAATAAGTAAAGGATGTATTACTTATATTGACGCATTTTTATTGTTAATTATATATTTTTGCTGAAGACAGAAACCTTTATTAGTTTCAAGTTTTAAAATATGTCATTTACAATTCTTTGAAGAAGTTCATGATTCATAATTAAGACGTAATTATTATTTCGAAATGGAAAGTCCATCACAAAAAGGATTTTAACAATAAATTTATTCAAATCGTATAGAAGTGGAAATTTTAATAACTTTTCTTTATCCTTAAGGTATCCTAATATCACAATAGGGAAGCAGCCGCCTTACTTTTTAGAAGAAGAATATGAAGAACTGAAAAATGCTCCGGTATACTTCTTCTTTTCTCTGTTTCATATGCTGACTCTGATATTAAATTTTAAATAATACAATACTGTATTTACTTGCACATTCCTCTCCCCCCACCACCAATTTTATCGTAGGAAAACTTAACGGAGAAAATGATGCGAACAATTTATCTCCGAAGGACGCGGTTATAGTAAGAGCATGCATGACAAGTGAAACGTAGTTAAGGATAAACTACCAGTAACTGTCGCAATATTATTTACTTAAAAGATGCCTACGTTTTAATAAAATTACGTAACGCTATTAATATTACTAATACTTTAGATAAAATCTTAATTTGTATTTCCTGTAACTGGAATCTCGCCCCCTCTCACTGCAGTCAGCTGTTCCTCCCTTGGCCTCAAATTATGTATTTTGCTAAAACTGCTTTCCGTGTGATTTGTAATGGTCAGCTTGCAAGTTGTCGCCATAGTTATTATCATCGTCTTAATCACCGTTCACTCTGTGTTCCAACGCGCAATGATCTTCTGAACCACGCTCAGCATCAGACATCCCGGCTTTCTTGAAGCTCTTCACTACTATTGCTTCATCAGTCAGAGGCCATACACTCAAAATTCACAAGCAAATCAATTAGTAATACAAAACTAATCACTAAGTGGACGAGGAGTGTCTAGACTTTAGCTGCCGGTCAAAAGGGCTGTTTTAAAGTTTAATCTGGTTTATCAGTAGTGATTACCGTTACGCCCAAGTAGAACAACAGAACATTTTATAAGACAGACGGAAGAAAAACACGGCAAAGTAAAATCTAAAATTAGGCAAAGCAACAGCTTTATGTATGGCGTAAATTTTAGTCAAAACTATATCGGTTTCGAGGGCTAACAGGTGCATGCTCTTCTTCATCAGGAGTAAAGAAATCTTCAACAAAGAGTAAGTAGCTCCATCTGTCGGCAAAAATAATAATGAAAATTAAAAAATTAAGTTAATAGAATTGGTTAATAGTATTGGAAAAATAGTTAATAGAATTGGTTAATAGTATTAGAAAATTAGTTAATAGAATTGAGTTAATAGTATTGGGAACTGAGTTAATAGAACAGTTTGACTTTAGGTCTGCAGTTTCGTCCATTGGTGAATTGGATTTTCTTGAAGCTTCTCACATTCACAAAGATTTATCTTGTTTAGGAAATGGCTTTAATCTAATCCAGTCCTTTCTAGATCTTTTAAAATGTTATTAATGACATACATATAAATTAACAAGGGAACGTTATACATATCATGTCTATCTGAAGAGTGAAGAAATACACTCTGTTGCAAAAAATATATGCACCCAGAAAAAATTCAGCAACAACTACGAAAGACGGCATGCGAATGTGGCTTGGCGCGTTGTGTAAAGAATAAAATTGCTGTTCCAGTCAGCATTGTGAAACAATACAATGGGCGTCTGAAGTTCGCAGCTGGTGGAATGTAAAAGGGCAGACTGCGGCGAGTGACGAGCATTTGCAGCCGCGTTGACGGCTTGGATACACACCATTGTAAAGTAACATACATTTAACACGTACTAGACGGCGTTACGAAAAAATTTAAGACTTTAAGAGGGGTCGCATCGTAGGGCTAAAAGTGGTCGGTTGGTCGAACAGGCAGATCAGCCGGCATATTGGTTAAAGCGATACAGTTTTTCCCCATTGTTGGAATCAGTAGCTCAGGGAATGCACAGTCAACCCATAGTAGCCCGGGACGTCCCGGGCCACTGTGGGATGTCCTCACTCACAATTCAACGCCACTGTCCCGGGATATCCAGAGATACGATTTACAGAAGATTAGGTGACGCTGGTCTCAGATTTAAATCGTCATTAAGACGCTTGCCATTGAAATTCCACCATAACCAATGTGGTCTTGAATGATGCCGCTGCCGCTCAAATTATACAGTGTCCGGTTAGAGAAATGCGATCTTCAGTGACAAATCCCGCTTTTTTTTTTTCAATGTTAATAACCACCGCATACGTCTCTGGAAAAGGAGAGGTGAACGGTTCAATGAACCATTTGTTTTCGAGCGGCACACAACCAGAACACAGGCTGTGACAGTCTGGCGAGCGATCAGCTGCAACAAGCGTTCACCATTAGTCATGCTGTGAGGTATTCTGACTGTTATCAGGTAGGTTGACGACAGTTTTGCAGCTGATATTACTTCCTATGTAAGCAGGTCGTTCAGGTCCTGTTTTTCAGTAGGACAGCGTCCAACTACGTCTTCTGCTTGTAAAGGTCCTCAATTGGCCTGCCATCGATTGGCTTCAGACCTGTCGCCTATTAAGTATGTTTGGGGCATGCTGGGCAGGCAAATTCAGCCGTGTACAAATACGTCCCAGCCCGCTGACCAGTTGCTCCATCTGTGGCATAATCTACCGCAAAGGGACCATTAACAACGTAATAGATTCCACGCCCAACCAAGTATCGGCTTGTATAACTGCCAGGGTGGCCTATACAATTATTATACAGCTTATAAAAAGCTATACAAGCTTATACAAAGCTTATCACACCATCAGCCGAATAGACTATACGAGGAAAATACAGACAGAAAATAGTTCAGTGCATGCGAAATGAGATACTTATATAGCAGTCTAGAATTGATCAAATATATAGTGTTAAGTAGATCAAATATATAGTGTTAAGTAGTGTTAAGTAGATACAGGTTTTTCAAAAGTTTAGTTGTGCAGCTCGCATAATTACTAAAATGGCGAATGTAAAATAAGAACTTTTAGTAAAATTATTCGTTAAAGTGCTTGTTTGCGAAAAAGCAAAAACTTTAAACTGAGATATTTGAACGGAGGGCGCTTTAAAACTGCTTCCTGTCCAAGCAAGGAACACGATTAAATTCTCTCTTACCAACTCGAGGTGTTTTTTAAAGGAGATACAGCAATGATTGAGATACATTCTGCACACACCCACACACGCAAAAAAAGGGAGAAGGTATAGTTTTATGTCTCCCATTCTTCTGGGTCGATAAACGAAATTTAATTTGCATTTTTCATATCTTGAAAGCGCGACTTAACTGCATTAATATATAGCATTGTTCTAACATAGGTATTCTACGTAAAATCGCATTTTTTTTCAAATGGCATGTCCATTTTTTTTATTTTTCAATTCTACGTCTCAAATTATTCCCAAATATTAAAGTTTGTAAAATTTTGTGAGAAACTTACCAGAAATTAAAAAAAATTTCTTGGCGCACCTTTTTCAGTTTGCGGCAAGAATAATCTATTAATCACTTGCCGAAAATCTTATTTTATAGCATCCTATTTTCATTTCCCTTTGCTCACTGCGCATGAGCGGAAAAAAACTGCATCATTCATTTTTTTTAATAATTTTAACAACGTGCGTGAAGCACATTTGGCGTTATTATCGCTTATAACAAATATGTCAAATTTAAAACAAGCCAATAAGTAAATTCACGTATATCTTAGAAAATTTTGTATAAAAATCTCTAAATGCGTCTACTTTAGGACGACGGTAAAAGTAACATAGATTACAATTCAAAACATTTTTCGAAAAATTTATAAAAAGTACTAATAAATTTTAAAGATAAATCATAAAAATCTCTGCAAATTTTATTTAGATTGAACCTAAATTTCGAACTGTGAAAGAAGGAATCAAGTAAGTTTAATAATAATAATAAAAAAAGAGTGTTAAGATAATATATATACCAAATTCAATTAACATTGAAGAGCTAAAAGTTTGAGAGTTAATTTTTTGTAAACTACTCGTGAGGTTTTTACAAAACGTGGCAGTTTGGCATAATTTGAGTCGTAGAATAGAAATATGGAAAAAATAGATATGTAATTTCAGAAAAAGTTCGATTTTATGTCAGAATATCTAGCAGTAAGAGACTATTCGTATGAAATGAAAAGTTACATTATTGTGCAGTGGCCTAATTTTTTCAATTTGTTTAAATTTGTACACTGTTTAAACCTAAACTTTTAGGGGATTAGTATAATTCAAAATGGTAACAGACCAAAACATCCCGGTGAAAGCATCCTGGACAAAAACATTGCGAAGAAAACAATAAATGGGGAGAAAGAACGTCGTCCTGCAAAACATCATCGGAGAAAAGAAGGCAGGAATACAAGATCGCAGTTCTTAAAACATCGTTGTAGTAGAAAATAAAGCATTGAAAAAGCTTCAGAACTTCAAAATTCGTTCTAAAAAATACCATGGTAAAACATAAATCACCTAAATATCATCGCATGATGATATAAGATTGCGACAAGGTTAATAATTGAAACAAAATTTGGGTAATAATTTGTGAGGACAAGAAAGAGTAAGGAATATTTTTTCTTAATATTTCATGTTTCTTTTACTTATAAATTTGACTGGCAACGCAAAAAGGAAATATAAGCATTCGAAAACTGAAAATGAATAGAACATTAATGCTAAGTATAGAAATTATTAGAATTTTGAACTTAGACAGTTACGCGATAAAGGACATTATTTATTTAATCTCTTTCCTAAAGCTGGAGTAGTAGCGTTCACATGCGTTTCAAATTTTGAAAAGAGTCTGCGCCAGAGCCCATGCAACCAGTGCGACCTTATTGGGCCACAGAATTTGGGGCTGCAAAATGTTTAGAATTCAAGATGGAACCGGGCGGCAGAATTTCGAAATCGCAGGCTTTGTACCAGGCGCCAAGATGTGCAGTCGCGGTTCTGCTTACATGCATTAAAAAATTCAAAAGTCTGATAACACATGTCTCATCATCATGCGATGATCTGTAGGTGCTTTATTTTTTGCCACGGTATTTCGCACGACCATCTTTTAACATGTGAAGTTTTCCCCCATTTATCTCTTACCACCTTTCAAGATGATCAGCTTTTAGTTTTTATTGATAATTTCCAATAATCATAAGTATTATCGCTTACAGAGAGAACCCAAAAAACCGGAGCCTCGTCCTTTTGCACCATACAGAGCAGGAAAATTTCAGCAAGGATACTTTGACCCTAATCCGTATACCTCTACCAAGGACATACCTCCACCAGTTGTTGAAGAAGAAGAAACTGAAGAAACAGCCACAACTCCCTTTATTCCAAGCAGTCCCGCTAAAAAGGTTGCATTTTTTATTGTATTCTTTATAGTTTTTTAAGTATGCAGATCAGAAGACAGATTCCATACAATTGTTCAAGCAAAACATTTCAGCTTTAATTTGTTGAAACGTTTACCCGATCAGTTATAGTCAAAAGGAAACAACAGAAGATTAAACAAGGAATGAAATTCAGTAAAACCCTCAGTCAGCCAAATTAAATGAAACTTGGATGAGTTCAAGTAACAGAATTTGTATTTTGAAATTATTGTGAATAGGAAATTTCAGATTCCAATCTAACACCACAAAGGGAAGGATTTTTTTACTTTTAATTTTTTAATTTTAATTTTTACTAGCCGATTATGAGACCAGTCTCCGGCCTGGAATAATGATATATACTCCAGAACTTATTTGTTCGTGTTGTGTAAATTGCATATAACTTCGAATGTCTGTTTGCTTACAAGATAGTTGCCATAGTTTTAAAAATTCCTGTGTATACAAAGAAGCTTCATGGCATTATGTACACAGATGAACATTTCTCGGTCAATTTTATGAAAGTCTGCAATTCTTCATCAGCTCTCTTCCAAGTAACTTTCTAACTCTATGTGTCACTTCTGCTCCACCTGATCATCTTTCTCCTTTCCTAGTACATAACCGATTATTTCACCGTCATCTTAAGAGAATGTAAAAGAAACCAAATTGTCTACATTCATCCAACCTGTGCCTTCTCTTCACTAATGCTAAATTTCCTTAACATGCAACTAAATCCAAAATCACGGCCACGGGCACCGAATTTGTTTCAAATCCAAGAAACTCTTCTTCACTTGACTTCTGAAAACATAATCATAGGGAACAATGTACGCCAACAGCAATGTAAAGTTACGTTCTCAACATCTTTCCAAACAAGAGACTAAGTAAATCTGCGTCGTTCAGTGGGAACTGTTTCTGAATATTACGGATACTACCTTCTAAGTTCACACTTCGGCGCATTGAAAGAGATCGGCATTAATCTTTATTTTCGAATAGATAAGTTCCTGGTCCACTGGCTGGATCGCCTTGTTACGTTGAGTGGCAGAAGCATAGCATAAATGTTTTCAACATTTAAATTTAACCTATTATGTAATTTTTTAATCTCATAGGCCTAAATTCCGGATTTAAATTTAGATCGTCAAACGTTTTGTTATTTTGATATTGCCGATTAAGTGATATTTTACTGTAGTTAAGTCTAATCATTAAAAAAGTAAAACAAAGATTTAAATTATCATGAAGTGCATTTATAATATATACGGCACTCAGTTTGTCAGTACGTAACAAATTGGTTAATTTCGAAAAATAAAATAAAGATCGTATCCTTTACGGGATGGCAACACTTTAAAAATCGTCTATATACGACGACATATGGGATATAAATTAGAAGTTTTACATTTCCGCGCAGTTGCAAATGCCCTTCAATAACAGTTACTGACTTCTATCCGTTCTTTTCATTTGTTAATTTCGGAAGTGTGATCCTGTCTGCAGATTTCATTTTCTCAGTACAGGATATTGTGGGTTAAAGTGAAAACGGTTATAGGAGTGTATATTTTTAATCTCTCCTGTTCTGAAATAAGCTTATTAGTCTCGACAGTGGGGTCCAAATTGAAAGATAATTGACAACACTAAGCTTTGGCGATAGGATTCCAGCCTCCTCAGCTGACCTTTAAGTGGGGGAACATCGTAAGATATTTGCGCTCTCCCTTATGTTGTGTCTTCGTAGTTAGAGTTCATTTGAAGGGAAATGCAAAATTTTCTCTTTCCACAAACCTAATGACTCACTTAGTCAAAATTGCTAATTCACCTTTTAAATCTGAAAACCAGTTAAAAGCTTTTCCTGTCCCCAAGATTTTAATCCTATAATAAATAATCCTATAGTAAATATCAGTTTTAGTGAAAATATACACACCTTGTCCGCAAAAGGCCTTGCTCGGCATTTATTTTCGCAACCATTGGCAGTAGACGTGTACTTCCACTTACAAATATGTTTTTAATTATACAGGTTTATGATTTCGTATTTTTAAACAAAGAAAATAATTTTGTATAAATTACAAACTCTTTACTAACTTTTAACAAGTTCGTCAGGTCACTACACTTGTATTTAGGAAAACCTTTACTCGATATAAAAATTCAAACACAAAAAGTTTGACGCCCTTACGACAAAAATTGACAGAGATATTTGATATTAAAATCAGGAATCGTGTTCGAAAGCCGCACATCAATTGAGGAGTGAAATGTTTGCTTTTGTACGTAATTAAAATACAATATCGTTCAGAAAAAGATTTCTGATGTTATGAGATCATGCGAGAAGAATTTCTATGCAGATTATTATAAAAAGTATTGATCAACATAATTTGTTTTTCAAAATAGAGGAATCTTGTAGCATTCATGTTACAGAAAACACTTGCAGACTTCGGTATGATCACGTAATCAACTGGTAAATAGTATTTGCATTCATTAAAAATGAAAAATATATGTACTTTAATAAATTTTTTATCCGGTTACCAGTTAAGGATTGGTATGATTTATTTTCATTATGGCAAAGCACGTGAAGGCTACCTGCTTAAGGTGAAGGATGCCGTCGTAAAGGACTTTCTTAGATAAACTGGCTCGTATCGACGTTAGATGTATTACTAGATTAGAATTCTAAAGGAAAAAAACCTGAAGAGAATATTAATAACTCATTTTCAAACTTCGAAAACTTATAAATTATTTGTATGAAAAATGTTTTAGCATCTTAAATGTAATAAAATTATAAATTAAAAACACAAACAAACCCCAAAACAGCAGCACCGAATAGCGGTTAAGGGAAAAAAAACACCTCGATTTATTCAAATTTATTTATTAAATTACTTGTGACATCTCAATACAAATGGAGGATGACGTCAAAAATCGATGTATTTGAAATTAAATATCTCAGTATATTGATATACGGATGTGAAACCTTTTGTGTTTTACTTTTTATAATGAGTACAAATGTTTCCTAAATATAAGTATAGGGAACGGAGGAACATCTAGAATGATAAATTTCGCATGCTTATAAAATAGATTTCTTTATCTTTAGAAATTCCAAAACATTAGTCTTTGCGTCATTTAAAATTTTTCGCAGTTGGAAGAATATGTCTGCCACCAAGTACTCGGAAAATAAAGGGCAGGTAAAGGTTTTTGTGGACACGGTTTATGCATAGCATGTTACATTACATAGTAGATTTCGCCAGTTCAATTATTATGTGCCACTAAGGACGATACTTTTATTTGAACAGGATGGCGGAATGAAGGCTGGCTGTTTGAATCAGTTCCCAGAGTACACAGGAGAGCCTCTTCCGAGACCTGATTTGGTACCCAGAGGAGTTAAAAGGTACATCAATGCAGAAAACCAGATGTTTCGTCCAGTACCTGGTCCCAAGCCGTACCCTGTCAAGTCAATTATCAACAAAAATGTGCAAAAGTAAGTAGCACATGCCAATTACATCATTCAACTATCTTAACTACTCGAATGCATAGTGTATTATAAATTAATTAAATATCAGTACGCAGAAATAACTTATACTAGTTAAAAGTTAAAGAATGGGATAATTACATGAATAACTGAAAATCAAAGGAAGGAAAGAGCTCTCATAAAATAGAGGTATTTTTAACTTTCCGCTCTCTGTGAAAGTCTCTTCTAGTTGACGGGGAAAGAAACTCTTATCTTGTACTGCAAGTCTTCCCATAAATGTCTTGATAATATTAAAGTGCAGCAATAGAAGGCATTATTTCCGTAAATCTGTAACAGTGTTACTTAAATCTCACTGGAATAGTGTGGATCATATTAACACGAAAAACATTCCAGCAACTGTGTATTTTTGCAACAATAAAGTAAGATATTACAGCCAATAGCTTCTTGCTTTCGATGACAACATATACGACCAAGAGCTTGTAGAGACATTAGGTATTTTTTGGAAGCAGGCAAGATGAAAAATGAGCAAACGCCTTCATCGGGAATCGAACCACAGACCTCTGGAATACCGGCCCAGTGTGCAGATCACCACACCATGAAAGCACGCCAAGAAAGCGAGAGAAATACGTTGGGGTTTTTAGGGGACCCAATCGCCAAATCCTGGATGGGGAGAAATCATCATCCACCACCCTTTTAGTTCGGGCGCCACTGTAGAGACATTAGGTAATTTTTGGAAGCAAGCAAGATGAAAAATGAGCAATCGCCTTTGCTGGGAATCGAACCACGGACCTCTGGAATACCGGCCCAGTGTGCAGACCACCACACCATGAAAGCAGGCCAAGAAAGTGGGAGAAATACCTTATAAGCTTACATCTTCATTTATTCCTATGCGGAGGTTATCGCAGACGTAAGTTCAATCTACATAATCTTTCATTATTTATTATTATTATTACATATTTTATTTACCTTGTTTACAGTCTATATATTAAATAGTGTATAGTAAAGGTTTTGATCACACTACTGGACAATTATTTTTCTGGTCAGTTTGATTAAAAAAGGTTTTATTGATTTATAGGGCTGAATTCGAATTCCCCACTATTAAAAATGCTGCGCCAGAATGGATAACAAATGACAGAAACTTATTTGTTGGACATATACAATATGATGGGAGGGAAACATGATTAAATTTTCAAGTTATTTGGGGTACACGGCTTGCATTATTCAGTACACAAGCTGCTACCTCTGGCAGCAACAAAGGCTCTAATCTGGTTGGGCATCGAGTAGGACTGAGCTTGGATATCAGACATGGGTAGTACATTCGAGGCTGCTTCACCTCTGCGCCTGATTTCATTTGTCGTAATTGCCGGTAAGTGGTACCGTGCTAATCTCTTGGCTCCGCATGGCCAGATGTTCTCAATACAAAAGAGATCTGGAAAACGTGGCGGCCAGACTAACGGTCTAGCGCCCGAGGATGGTCAGGCAAGGCAGCATCCTGTCGTGCTTTATCTTGTTGAAAGATAGGATTACATAGGCTTTGAAGATAGTGTCAAGCCATTAACGTTTCAGACATGTAGCGGCGGCTGTCCAAATTACCGCCTGTTCAAACAAGAGGTGACTGGGATGTGTATCCAGTTGCCAGGTACTGGACCCATATGACAATGATGAATGCAAGCTGACAACGTTCGTTCACCACGCTGTCATCCCACACGGATACATCATGATACTGTACGTAGAATCGAAATTCATCAAAAAAGAGAAATCGCTGTGTACACTGTCCTTATTCGTCGCATTACAGCAGACGTGCCTCTCTCTGCTGCAGATCAAGCGAGGCCACAACAATGGTCGCTAAGCTGATAGTCTATGTTCCTGCAGACCTCGTCACGCAGACACTTGTCATCCTGGACATGAACAAGGTTCCTGATTAAGGCCACGTAACGCGGCTGCACGATCCTGCATGGTCGAGAGAAGAACGTGTCTGTCCTCTCGAACGTTAGTTGCCGCCTGCATGGCGTTCAGTATTGCCCATTTGGACGGAAGAGCAAAGTACATATGCAAGCGTCGCTGCCGACAGCTGTGTAAAACTTTCCAGAATTCTGCCTTAAATATGCTTACTCATTTGCAGCCTCGTGAGAGCTAACGAAAAGAAGAAGTGACAGTATAGATATAAATTATTAAAAGATGGGTTAATTATCATAAACTGTCTACAGTTTCTCACATGCATAGGAAATAACCAAATCTTGGACATATTTTTAAGATCGCGATAGAATATTAAAATTTGAAAATGTGAATGCAAACGATAATTTGCTGCTTGTCTTTATAAATTATCTTGCATTATTAAGATGTAATGATTGTAAGATTTTATATATCTATATCATTACATATCGAATACTAATATATTTTTCTTTTTACTTAGAAAAGTGAACCCTCTGAATTTTAAAGCCATTAAAGGTGTAGTATATTGCAAGAAATAGCTTCATTATTTTAATAAAATATATCAAGCTGGATGTACTGAAAATACTTAAAATTTAATAAATTTTATTTTCATAAAAAAGGGCTACTGTTTTTTGCAGAAATATACTACTTTTCGTTTTGTTGGAATTTTTATGAAGTGCGGATATGTAACGATCTCACATTCCATTTACTCAAAAAGATTTGCTACTTAACGTGCATTAAAATCTATAACACTATTTTACAAACTTCAAAACATTTTATTTTAAAACATAAATTAATTTGAAATCTAAAGGAAGGGAGGAAGAGAGGAGGACTTAGGAAGTTAAAATAATGAATAAAAACAGCAATATTAAACAACATCTGTAAATATGTTATGCCTATGTCCTGAAGCCAAGGAAAAATTAACTTTTATTAACTCTTTTTGCAATATGAACAAGAGTAGTGTAGTTTTGTAGATTGTGTAATATTACAGGAAATAAAAATTAGAACTTCCATTTACATACTTTTGTAATTCCATAAAATATTTGTATCTTTCCTATTACAAGAGAAGCACATGAAACTCATCCATTTTTCTTAAACTCTGCATAATTATCATAGTCTTCAAAAATAAGAAATGTAAAACACTTAACATGAACCTTTTACGAAAAAAATGAAGCTAAATAATGTACGAGCAACACTCTGAAATTTGTAATATACAGCTAAATGATACAAGTTAAACTTACCAAATCTTAGAAGTGATCAAAATAGTCTCTTCCTACAAAAATACACTTTTGCAGGTGAATTCACGAAAGATTAAAAGTTCTATATTTAAATCTTGGAATCGATGAAATATATGCTTTTATGGGCTCATCAATCTCATCTTTGAAATGAAACTATAGGCATGTAAAATGTTTTAAGATTAAAAAAATAGGCAAACGTCACACAAGATCAGGAGAAAAGGGAGGGTGTTCTGTAACTTTAATGTGTTATTGTTCAAAGAAATTTCATTGTCAGTCTTGCTAAATGAAAAGATACGTTACCATGTTGAAGAGTAAGTCCCCTAATTTCCATTTCTTAAAGAATTCTTAGAGTAACTTTCTTCTGGCCCTCTAACTTACCAAACTTACCAAATCTAACTAACTAAGTCTAACTTGATAGATTTGACGAGTTCCGTACTTAAGAAGAAAAAGTTACATATTAGCATTTTCTTGGCTCTTTTCACCATTGTTGATTTGGGGTTATCTTCAACAATTCATACACTAATTTTCGGATATATAGGAGCGTTAAAAAATAGTAGGAATATTTCATCGCTAGTTATGATTTTAGAAATGATGTGGTGTCCACCATAATTAAGTAATTTTAGGGTTTCTTTACTGGTTCTAACTCGCTGCAGTTTTACGGGGCCCCCAACAATAAACTGATTTTTTTAATATGCAGCTCCACATAAATAATTTTATGTACAGCTATACTGAGTTCCTTATGTATCATTTGATAGGTACCACGATTATCCGGATTAACATTTTTCATATGGACACATTTCCTAGGGCTACAGCTGATACGGACAGAATACAGGACTGTTTATTTCGAAACGGTTTGCAAAAGTTTAAAACAGATTCAAAAGGTATTTTTAAGCGACGTCTTGTACGTACGTACATATGTATGTATGTATGACACATAACTCAAAAACGATTAGCCGCAGAACGTTGAAATTTTATAAATGGGATTGCTATAACATCTAGTAGTATACCTCCTTTTTTATTGCAATCATCGGTACTAAAAGTATGTATAATGACTCACCCTCTTAATCGGCTAAGAGTATAGACACCTTAAATCCTTATTCGGTCTTTATGTTCGCAAAAGCCGGGCTTAGTCATATACTTCCAGTTACAGAAGTGTTTTAAATGAGAAAAATATTCATGTTTTGGCGGTAACAAATTTTAAAAAATTAATTTTCGACAGATAAGGAAATCTAAGTTTTAATGCTGTCGCTCTATTCCTATATTTATATATACGAAAGTTTTATAACCGTTATGAAAAAAAATAAAAATAAAAATTCGACTCCCGTACTACAAAAATTGACTGGGATATTTAAATTCGTGAATTTACAATTTTTGATGCCATTTTGAGTCATATGGTGGCCCCGTCAGAATTTTAAATCACAGAAAATCCTAGCATGATAATGTTCTCGCGTCTGCTCTTCTCCTTTCTTTCAAAATTTACCTTACTATAGATAAATTGCAGTTATTGTCACAAACTGTCATTTGCGTACATAAAGGATTACGATATACATACCTAACGAATAAATGATTTTTAGCATTTTGTCTGCCCTCCGCTTCAAACCTTCGTTATTACATAAGTACTTTTAGTCATAAAAGATTTATGGTAATCTAAAAAATAAATTACTACTTTTCTTAAAAAAAGTAGTAAAATTGTTTATGTGGTAAATCTATGTAGTTCTTTTCTTTACTTGACTAAGATTATTGCTGCAAAAATGGTTTTACAGGCAAAATGAAAATTGCGTAATACATGTACAGATTGGGAATCCTCCCATTGAGCCGTGTGGGATCATTCTGGCATTTGAGACTGAGATTAAGAGAATAGTAGAGGCATTGTGGGAAAGGACACTACAACACAACTAAAAAGGAAGGGAGAAAAATCGAGCGAAAAATCATTTTGGGCAAAAGGGTCTACGTAATTGATTAACAGGCTAAAGCCGAGTTCAATCGGGCGGAAAGCGTTGACCAATCCGAAGCGAGATCAAAGGCGGCATTTTTCGGACGACCGGAGAACGCGTGAGTTGACTTAACTTCAACTTTTCGACGCTTGACGCGTCAGTTTCAGGCACCTCGTTTCAAACGTCCAGTTTATACTACGGTTTTTAAATGATTTCACTTTAAAAATTTCTTCTTGGTGGGGGGGGGAGAAGTCAAATGGACTGATCTTAATAAAAAAATGCAAATGCTAATAGAATAAAAGCTTTATAAATTATATAAAGGAAAACTCTCAAATTTATTAGCAGCAATAAACCTTAATAATCAACCATAAATTATATATGATTGACAATTTTTACAGAATAGCAATAGATTATTGCGAGAAAATAGTGATGGATTTCGAAATCCCAGATTTTGAATTTTTCTTAAAAATCTATCTAGTTTGGATTCAAGCGTCACCAGGAGTGGTGTTATAATGAAGTTTGTATTTTTTTAAAAAAATATTTACAGAAAATATTATCGCTAGTTTCAGAATAGCCCAGAAGCTTCTTCAGTTTCCTGTAGGGTAAAGTGTGAAAAACCATACTTACCCGCAAGCTACCTTAGCGCGGAGGTAACAAGCTCAAGTAGAATATTCAGATGGTACTAGGTACTTGTATTGCCTTTGATGATGGTACGAATACACCAATTTTTTTAAAAATCTACCGCGACTTTTTTTTGGGGGGGGGGCACAAGAAGCTTGCATTTATTTTTCATTCCTCATTCATATAAACCTAATTTTCGCTTGGCATTGTGCGCATTATCCTTCTTTTGAAAACGAGCCTTTGGTACAATTTATAAGATGATCTGATTCTGTTTATCATTCATCAATTATCTTTTAATAAAACTCATAAATAAATTAAATTAGATATAGAAAACTTTTTTTTTTTTTTTCTGGAATATCCTATCCCTATCTTCCAAACGATTCTTTTATGCGATATTCTGACAAAAAATGGTGTTCTGCTTTTGAATAAATAGTTTAATGAGGGCTAGAAATTCATCGAATTGATGAAATGTCATGCGAAAGTAATTAAAGGAAACTTCATTTCGTTCAAGCGCATTTCTTCAATTCGATTATTTTTATCTCCTTGGTGCCGTCATCTCTCACATGTTAACCACTGCATTCTGCTACAAAGCAGGAAGTAAAATAAGTTTTAATCGAGCAGAAATTAAATTCCTTTTAATTAAAAAAATGTAATCGTAAAAAGTCAAAGTACCACACAAAAATTTCACGTCCCCCCCCCTAAGTTTCCGATATGAAGAGCCATCTAGGGCGAGCATATGACAACTTTTAAAGCGAAAGTCACCGCGTTGGTGTGAACTGAGGTATACAAAAAGCGGCCGCTTTTCGTCCCAACGTACCAATGTGAACGCAGCTTAACAGATAAATGCAACAGTTTTCGGCATTAAGGGAGAAAGCAATTCTGATTAATTGAAAACTCGAGTTAACCAGACAAAATGCGTAAAAAACATAAGATATTTTTTTAGTTCATTTTTAAGAAAGATATTGATAATTCAAATTTTAGATTACCCAGATTTTTTTTTTCTAGTTACACTAAGCGCCGTTTAATGTGATCGTGTTATTACAAGTCTATTTCGATAACATTAAGTGGTGAGAAAAACATGGAGGGAGTTAAAATTATTTTTTATAAATATAACTAGAAACTATAAACATTTACTTTCACTGAATTTTGATAAGGAAAGAAAGTTATTAATTAACAGTTGATTATCCAGAATCATTACACAAAATTTCATTTATGAATTGTATATATTTACAATGCTTCTGGAAATTATTTGGTCGATACTATACGCCTAATATTCAATATTCATCCTTCATATCAGCATTTGTAAGAAATTAACCAACTTCGCCATCTTCTTCTAAAAGTTTATCAAATATGACTGCTTGGATTTGTTTCAAAAAGTGATAGGCAGATATACTTCTGTCATTGATGCTGCAGCTTGAGTTTTTTCACTAATATTCACTCATTCCTCAAAATTCATGTTAGTTTGAGAGGATCTTAGTACTTCAGTTTCCTTTATTTTATCTTAAAAATCTTATATGAAGACATCCCTCTTCTTAGGCAAATAGCCATTACGTGGTTTGCCATATTAAATTAACCTAATCTTTATTTCATCATTAATCGAAAGGCTGGCATGCTTAAAATAATTTTTAACTGTCTTTTTTGATATGGTGTTCCGAACTTAATGTTGCCATAAATCAAAATCAAGATGGTAAGGCACCTTAATCCTTTATGTGGCAGCTTGTTTGAGTTATTTGGCAAATTCTAGACACTACTTTGACTTTATTTTTTTATTTGGTGACATTATTTCAGTTTTAAAAATGCATTCTATAACAGTTTGATAGCATAACCAAA